TACCCCTGCAATGGAAAGGGGTTGGTAGACCTGGGCTCCTCCGGAGGCCAGGTCTACCCCTGCAATGGAAAGGGGTTGGTAGACCTGGCCTCCAGAGGGGGGGGTGCTCCAGGGCAGGGGGAGGGGAAGATCAACCCAGGGGGTGGAGGAGACAGGGAACCGGCGGGATAGGGGGGGAACTTATCTCCTCCTGCTGCTTCCTCCTCTTCCTCATAGGTGCGGAGGTCCTCCTCTCCCGCGAGTATCGCGGGTCCCCCACTTGTAATATATAATGTATAAGGTATAATGTAGTGGTTAAGAAAAGTGACCTGGGAAGACCCAGTCCAAATATCATTTCAGCCACGAGTAGACAACGTGGCCGTAAGCAACCTTAATTCTCCCACCTACTATGGATCTCATAGTATTGACCTATTTTATGGAATGGCTGTAAGGATTGTTGAGAATGTATTACATAGTATTCATGTTATTAAATCATTTAGGGCAGAATGCTACTGTGTAACCTCTGTGAACATCTCTATCACCCACATATACCCTCCCAGAAGAAGCTCTATCTGGAAAGGCCCTATTGCACCGTACCTCAAAGACTTTTTAACAGGTACATCTTAACTTCAGAGGCTTTTCAAGGTTACGTTTCTCTAATGCTCCCCAAAGGAGCCAATCACACCAAGTCATCAGGCAAACAAAATTTGAACAAAACAAGTTGTTGCTTACTCAAGAAGATCAGGGTTTAATCCTTCAGAAATCATTTTGTTTCTTATTGCCATTACAGGGACGCCCTAAGGAGACAAAAATTACAGTTAAAGGCCCAGAATACTGAACAAGCACTCACATTTTACTGAACAAAACATTCTTAAAGGAAAAAAGGTCTCTACTCAACAACTGGTGCTGCTGACTGGACTACAGTAGGATGATGGAAGATGCTATTTCCCATGACTACCTCCAAACAGGAGAGATTTTTGAAAAACGAAGGTCCATGTTTAGGCAAGTCAAAAATATCACCAGAATAGTTCCCCCCTCATTTGATAAGCTTCCAAACTCCTAGCCCATTTTAAACTCTTACCTCATGGCCCCACAAAAGGGATCCAAGAATCTCAACACTGCTTTCCAGAAAATACCTACATCAGGTGCTGTGTGTCGGAATGGATTATTTATGTAAAAACAGTTGGGGGTTCGGCAAGATGGACAGAGCAGCACAGCCAAGAGAAAATAAGAAGTGGATGCAACAGCAAGAAGACAAGGCGTATGCATGCAGGAAATCAAACTGGTCTTCAACTTACCAGTCAGTCCTGATGTTTGTTTACCCATACCATGCCCTGTAGTAAACGGACAAGGAAATCCATTCTGGTCTCTGCTAGGAATCAGCCTTTTCAGCTGCCACACCATCCCTTTGAAAGGGCTGTCTGAAGGCTATGCACCCTTATGAGTCCTTTAAAGGGCCTGTGACAATCTGAAACAACTGAGGGAACCCTCTTGAAAACTTGTTTCAGGTGGGCAGCCATCTTAAGTCGGTAATGACAGAACAAAATTCAAGGCCCATAGCACCTTAAAGACCAACAGCATTTCCCAGGGTACAACCTTTTGTGAGTTGAAGCTCACCATCAGAGAAGCTGACTGTGTTGAAGGTACTGAGGTGACTGTAATTCATCAGCTGAGATTTACCTAATCATGATTTTAGACAATTAAGACGAGGGGGGAAATGTTTCTGTGCAGCAAGCACTGCTACTACAGGTAGACGTTTAAAGTATTAGGGAAGGAAGTTGGAATTTGGGGAAAATATTTTCCTGCAGGGTGCCTGAGAAACAGTCAGGGAGTCCCTGCCCTCTGCTAGGGACACTCTTGCAGCTTTTTCTCCTGTGTTTCTGCTGGCGTGGCTCGAAAAAAGAACAGACTGCCATGCCACCATTGATGCAAAGGTCAAAAGGGGGGAAAAAACCCCAATGTACGATTTCTGATTTCCAAGGTCTATGGAAGGTCTGAAAAAAGACGTGAGAGACCTCAAAGCCTGAGCGAACAGAAGTGTGCAGCTGGTTTTGGCAAGGAACAGATACAGTTCGGCCAAGGTAAGTAGAAGCTTTTAGAAGGGAGAAGGGAGCCATGGCTGCTGTTTCACAGAAGCCTGTTTACATTGGTGTCACTGGGGAAAGCAGAGAGAGCCATTCAGGCTGGCAGAGTGATAGCCACACTCATTCTGTGATTAATATTTCCCTGCATGCATCAGTATTCAGAGCTTTCCCCCCCTCCAATACAAACAATTAACTAGAACACTTTAATACTGGGAATCCACAGAGCTGTTATTACTGGGAGTCGCACAGTTCTTTTATAACTGGGAGTCGTCACCATATGGAAAATGTAACCCAAAACATGGAGGCTAATGTTCTTTTTCTTGAACCTCTGTTATCCAAAAACCTCTCACAATGGGAAAATTACCACCAATAAACACAAAAGCTTTCTGACTGAAGAAACGGGCAACTTTAGGCAACTAATTATTTCTACCACTGATGTGAGGAGAAAGAGGCACTCAGAGCCACTGGATGTCTATGCCAGAATTCTACATTTTCCACTGAAAGTTTGTCAGCTAATTAGACCTAGGCTACACCTGAGATTAGGTCCCCAGAGATACTGATTGATGTGGGGTGAAGACAAGACCACTTTTTCACTAGGAAGAAGAAGAGATTGCATTTATACCCCACCCTTCACTACCCAAAGGTGTCTCAGAGCGGCTTACAAACTCCTTTCCCTTCCCCTCCCCACAACAGACACCCTGTGAGGTAGGTGGGGCTGAGAGAACTCTTGACAGAAACGGCTCTATTTCAAGAACAGCTCTTATCAGAGCTATGGCTTGCCCAAGGTCATCCAGCCAGGTGCAAGTGGAGGAGTGGGGAATTAAACCCGGTTCTCCCAGATTAGAGTCCACGCACTTAACCAGTACACCAAACTGGAAAACAAACAAGCCACCCTAAAATGCAGATATAGGTCTCTATAAAATCAAGTAAACGTATTTTATTATGCACATATAGGAGACCTTTTGTATTCACACCCACCTGAAATACTCCTGTATTACCCTGTTCACTCAGACAGTGGCATCCTTTCACAGCAGCTGGTCCACTTATGCCCTTTTGCTCTGAGTTTCAGGACCGATGAAATGCAGCTGGTGCTGCTCCGTCACATGGGCCACCAGCAGGCCACATTTACCCATCATGGTTAACTTCTGTTTGTTCACGATGGGCATGAACGTGGTTTATGTGTTTAGTCACACAGACCTCGTCTCTCCTTTCCTCATGTGTGAGCAAGAACTTCCTGATTTGGGAAGCCTTGAACTTGCCATGACACATGAATTCAGGGAACTGGGTAAAGTGGAGTTTGTCCTGTTCACAGCCATTTGGCAGGATATCTGAATGCAGCCACAGCAAAAACTTCGGGGGTTACATGAGCAACAAGGGCTTGTTTTTAGGTTAGGCTTGTGCTGAAGGTACAGGATTTCTCTACCATTTCTACCTGCCTGGCTTTCTTGAAACCAAGGGGACCCACACAGCCTCTCTGATGGAGAACCTGGCCAGTTTGGAGATATAAACCTTCCCCTCAGGTACAAGACATTTTAGGGTAACAACTGTAAATGCTTTGGGTCACTGCTGTGAGCAATGTTCCCTTCTAAGCTGTGGAGTCCTGTGAGCAAAAATTCTATTTTCTGAGCTACCGGCATTAAAGTTGTGAGCAAGCGATTTGGCTACGGCATAAATTAGTTTGCTCCGGAGCCCTCCTTCCTGAGCTAAGACAAAAATGTGTGAGCCGGAGGCTAAAGAATGGTGAGCTAGCTCACACTAACTCAGCTTAGAGGACCTACCAGCCGACACCGAGGATCGCAAGAAGGAGAACGGAACAAAGCGCCGAGCCAGCAATAGCCAGCAGCCGAACCAGGAGTGAGAAGTACAACAACTCCTTCCACAGGGTGCCGGTAGGGTAGTCCCCACCCTGATTGAAATGTGGCCATAGATAGGGTTAATTAAGAATACTGTAAGCCGCTCAGAGACCCATGGGGGGGGGGGGTTGAGCGGGATAGAAACCGAAATAATAAACAAACAAACAAACAAACAAACAAACAAACACTGGCTGTGAGGTAAGTTTTGTACTGAGCCTGAATAGTACTGCGCGCGCTGAAGCAAGAGGTTTAATAAAGCAATAAAGAAGATTTATTTATACACAGGTTATATGGTAAATTCTCTTTAAAGTTTGTAGTTACCAGGTCTGCTCATCACCAGAGACAGGCCTCGCAACTCTACGCTCTCCCAGAGGTAGAGTTGAACCACTGTGCCACGTTACCGGGCAGAGCTACACACAAAATTGTCTGCTCCCTTGCTGAGACAATTCCTCTGTCTTGCCTGCACTCTTCCTCAGGCAGCCCTCAACACCCACGCACCCCTGGCCCCAAAAGAGATTAATTGCTGGAGCAGCACTTCCATAGGCTCAGATGTCAAAAGAGTGAGTGGCTCTTTCACCTCTCAGGGATAGGACAGCCTCCTGTCTGCCACACAGACACACTCCCGTAGTCATACCATCACACAAGATCTGCAAGGGTAAAGAAACTGTCTTTCAGGGAGCCCCGTGCGTCATACCTGATCTTCTGCTCAAGGTAGCCCCAAGTATGCTTCTGATGAGCTCCAAGGAAGAGCTAGATGCCACTAATTAAATATATTGTGTCTATCAATTTTAGCTCAGTGCTCAACTAAGCTCTGAGTTCAACAGACTCTCAAAATGCCACAATAAACTAACAGAATCAGGGCTGTATGTTTTGGAGGAGAGGCAATCTTGATTCAAGTCTGATAAGGATTTCCTTCCCATTTCAACCGTTACAGGCCTTTATTTATTTATTTTTTTTGTGAAGTCTCTTACCTAGGCTTCAACCCCAGAAAGTGTCCTGGGAAATATGAAGTAAGAAATGGATAAGACGAAATATACATACCTATACTTTGGTATGATGAGCTTTTTCACTTGCCAGAAATTTTATCACACACAACACTAACATGATTTATAAACCAAATAAAAGACTGAAGTTGAGTCTCATAACTAATGCAAGAGGAATTTAAGATCATATACTTGAGGCCTATAAACAGCTTAAGATTTTATGAAGCAGGTGTCCAGTCCCAAAGATAATTTACTTCTAGAACCACCTTTAGCTGGAAAGTGACTGTATATCATCTACCTCGTTTGAAAAAAGAAAGCTTATCTGTCTTAAGGGTCAGCGCTGGCTTGGTTACCAATACAGATGGGTCTTAATTTGTTTATGCTTCTTTCAGTTATTGAGGTTTGCATCAAACGTTTGAACCAGTCACACCCATTAGCAAATTCGATTCTCATGGATTTCTGCCATCTTTAATATTGCTTCAAACTTTATAGCGGAGCTGTCTAATTTTTTGGCTATCTGAAGTTATAATATATTCAACTCAGTGGCAAGAATGTGGCTTTCAACTTGCATACAAGAGATGTTAAACGCACAGGCTTGATTACAGGGGGGGGGGGACTGCTCTGTCAATATCTTTCAACCCTACACAAGCTGTCATTCAGAACAGAATTAGGCACAGAATCCTGCCTCTCCTTAACAGCAACCAATAGCAGCTGATGGAATGTTGATGGGAGGCTGACAAGTGAAAAAAATTACTTCCGTTCAGTGAGAGTCAGACTGGCTGAACAAGGAGCTGTAAACTCAAAACCAACCTGCAACAGAGGAGCAGTCTAACTGGAAGAAAGTCAGTTTGTAACAAAAAATCCGGGATGCCTGAATAGGGCTATGGTTCAGAAGTTCAACTGTGAAGAAACTTTGTAATCTCTCCCTGATTCACTCCAATGTCTTCAAACCATAAATAGCAACTTCTTGTTCGCTTAGCCCCATGTGCTGGATTGTATGGTCTCGTGGAAAGAAGCACACACACACAGACTAAGAACTTGCTTTTCATAGGCCCCGGTCACACGGGCCGGAAAATGCGGGGGGGAAGCATGGCCATTTGCCCCGGAGCAAAATAACGCGTGGCTGCCCGATCACATGTCCCGCCGAGGTCCCGTGGTTAGGGCGTGAGGTGCCGATCACACGGCTATCCTGCAGTGCGGCAAAGAAGCGGCGTGGCGCGATCACACCAGCAATCGCTAGGCGCCGCCTCCGAGGTAAACAAGAATATTTTTTCCTCACCAAAAGGTGAGCATGCGCATGATCATTTGTGCGCATCCTGTGCAGACTTTAAAAACAAACTAACCGGTTTGCGACGGGACTAGGATGGGACGCGATCAGACGCCCGCCCTTGCCCCGCGTTTTCTGGAAACTAGTACATTGTAAGTACTAGTTTTTTACTCCGTATCTTCCACACGAAGCCACGGGTAAGCCACTGGTTAGCCACTGGTGCACTAGACTTCCCAGATGTTGCGGTGTGATCGCGCCCGGAAAATCCACCTCTCATCTGTATCTTTAGCGCGGCAAATGCTCCGTGTGAACAGGGCCATAGATATGCATTAGGATATGAGTAAATGGTGGTAACGTGTGACTAAAGTGGTGGTTGAGTCCCCATCTCCAACACCTCAGCAGTGTCTGACTGAGGGGTGATTGTTAAAGAATGGGCTACCCTGTCTGGTGGTATCTCCCTGAAAAAGAGAGGAGGGTCTTTTTGTTGGAAAACAGTCAGGGTTCTCTATTCTAAAAGAGGCAAGACGTGTGAAGAACTATGACTGTGTGATTTACTTGTAACCTTGAACCTGTGTGACAGAGGTTATGGAAGGTGAAAAAGGGCATCACCCCCCCACCCAAGAACCCAATTTTTATGGCTTCAAAATGTCTACTAATTGGACATCTCTGCCAGTAAGGGTTAGGCATATTTAAGAACCTTAAGCACAGAAGAATGAGGGACTTCTATTGTGGTTAATAGGCCCTACCAATTTAAAAAAGGCATGGGAGGTAAGCTGCCTCCCTTTGAGCAAGCTACATAAAAAAAAGACTAAATCCCATAGACAGATACATAAACATCAGAGCACACAATGCAGTGAGTGTTTTCCTTTCAACAGCACCACAGTCTTTCCACGTCCATCAGCAATTAACTAGCCATACAATGCCAATACACGAATCCACATTCACAGGAAAATTTCTGCGCCAGCAAAAGGGTCTGGTGGAATATCCTAATAACAACACTGCACCGTTTGAGTGCCCTGTATTTAAGCCTGACTAAACTTCAACCATTGGACACGGGCAATGAAATTAAGTGGTTTTAATCTCAGGGAGGCCACAGGTCATGTCCAAATGGGAAAGCATGCTCATAATTAGTTCAAATAAGAGCAACTCACATGGTACCATGGCAAAAAGCAGCTTAGGAACAAATGTGAAGAATTGTTTCAATTGTATTCTCCAGGAAAGGGCACGTACTTCTCCCTCCCCAACACCTTTGCTGAACAAGCGGCCAGAGTGGTTCTGGCCTCCTAGACCAAACTTCTCGCCTGCCTGCTTTACTCCACAAAAAATCAGAATGCCTTCGCCTGTATCGCCTGGAAGGGTCTGGGTGGCATGTTTCCCCCCTTTATTGAAATACTCAGAACAATATGGCTGCAATGGGACTGTTGAACCTAGAGTGCATAAAGTGACACCACCTTCCCGCCCTGTAGTGTTTACAACAGAGGTCCCCAACTTTTTCAGCCTGTGGGCACTATGACAAAACATGGTGGGTGCAGGCATAAAATGTCTGCCACAAAATGGCTACTGAAGGAGATAGAGCCAGCCATAAAATGGCTGCCACAGCTTACCTTCAGTCACTCAGGGAAGACCCTTGTGTCGTGGTGGCAGCTGCTGCCAAAGCAACATTTGCAAAGCCAATCAAATCTCCAATGGCCAATCAGAAGCTTTGTTGGGAAGATCCCCACCTGGCCCCACAGACTTTCTAAAAGCATCTGGCAGGCCCCATGGCACCCGTGGGCACCACATTGGAGACCCCTGGTCTACAACTTACAAATACAGGGTTTTCCTGCTTTTTATGGAAAGACAAGCCTTTATGAGATAGCTCCTTATTGGACAATATAACAGGATGTGGATTGCTGAGTGGTTTAGCAAGTACAATATAGGATCTACTTTTAGGCCTGGAGGAGCCTGACCCAAGTCAACTTTACTCTCAATGCATGAGGTAACTGCTGGTGCTGTCAACAGACAGCTTTTACCTTTTAAGTCAAGGACTGAGGTATTTTGGAAACAAATTTTGTCAACAATTAAGGAAAGGCAGTGTAGTATAACAGCTAGAGTGTTGACCAAAGATCGGGGAGATCCAAATTTATACTGCCACTCTGTCATGGAGGCTCCCTGGTAGGTCTTGGGTCAACCACTCTTCCTCAGCCAAATCTACCTCATAAGGTTACTGTGAGAATCAAATGGAGGAGAGGAGAATAATGTATTTTGTCTTGAGCTCCTTGGAGGAAGAGCAGGATAAAAACCATCCACGAGAGATGGATGGATAGCAGGATATGTGCTAACTCTAAATCCAAAGAGGAATTTGCTTGGCTTTGAGAAAGATGTTGTGAATTACATTTACTGTAAATTAGTTATGAACCTGCTTACTTTTCCTAAGACAAACATTACTTTCTATTGGAAACCTGCTGACAGGCTTTCACTTAACAACTGGTATAGCAGAATATGGTTCTTGTCTAATCTGCATTTATGCAAATTTATAATAAAAGTCCACAAAGTGGGATACAATAAAATCAAAGTTAAAACTTATAAAACAATGAATCAAAGGCAACAACAATCAAGAAAGCAGGAGCCAAACAAAAAATCCCTTAAAATCCTGCTTTGGAAGTTTTTTTCTGAATAGCTTAGTCCTCTGCCAAAATCAGAGAGACAGCAGACACCAGAAAAACTGTGCCTCAGTCAGGGATGTGTGGATGCAGAAACCTGCAGGATGTGGCACTGAAGCAACATTGGACTGAAAAAACGCAGTCCTATTTCTTGTTTTTGAAGCAGAGTTCTAGGCCTCATGACCACAAAGATATACAGAAGCTGAGCAAGCAAAGCCATCTGAAATCCCGGAGGTCAGGAGTGGCTGACCAAGACTGCCAATGTTTGGAGCCCAAAGTTAGTGATCTAATGCGCCCATTGTGTTCCCCATGCACAGTAAAACAAAGTCATGGAAAACCATAAAGACTACAGAATAGGTTGTGCACAGAAAACAGGCAAATGTATTCGATTTACATAACTAATACAGATGGCAGGATGCAGCTTTTCTTGAAGCAGAGGGGTGACAGATTTCGATTTTTGTTTAGCAAAGAGCACACCATAAGGCACTATGTAAACCAGGGGTAGCCAAACTGACGCTCGGGAGCCGCGTGTGGCTCTTTCACACAGTCTAATTGAATGTTAATAAGAAGCAAATTTGCATATTTTTCAACTAAAATGTGTGTGTAATATTTGTTCTTGTCTTGCGGCTCTCAAACATCTGATGTTTCTTCTATGTGGCTCTTAACGTTAAGCAAGTGTGGCCACCCCGATGTACACCAAAAAGACCAGTGTTCTCAAACCATAGCAAGGCAATTTAAACTTTTTCAAGGAACACTGCCACCCCCCCCCGGGGGGGGGGGGGCTCTTGTTGCTGGCCCTGTTGAAAACAGTTAAACAAGTATAAAGCCAACAGTCGTGATAGTCTGACCCACAATCAAACAGTCATAAGACAATAATCTTAGTGCTTACTCACATAGTGGTGCCAAAGCTCTCAGTTTCATAAATGTTAGACAACAAGTCTTAAGAATCTGTAACACAGTAATATTACCTTTGTTATGAACACATACAAGATATTTCAAATTACAACTAATCAACCTAGTAGTAGAGCTTTGGCACCACTATGTAAGTAAGCACTAAGATTATTGTATTGTCTCTTGTCATTGGTGTAGCACATATTCTAAAAATTGTATTTTTGTACACTACAGAATATCTCCTGAAGAAGATCCATTTTTTTGAAACGTTGTTATGTAATCCGGAGACGACGTTGATTATGTGATTATGTACCTTGGTTTAAGGATTTTCTATTGAGTTGTGTATCATGTTGTAGTGCTTTAGATTACAATACATAAACAGCATTCTTTATAAGTCTTATGACTGTTTGATTGTGGGTCAGACTATCACGACTGTTGGCTTTATACTTGTTTAACTGATTGGGTCGTGTGTGTCCAGACCTGTTGAAAAAAACAGACCAGATGAACCCATGGGGTCTGTTATACACTGATGTGCCCCCCCCCCAAAGTTCTTTTCAATGAGCTGGAGCCTTTTAGTATGAAAACTAGCCCATCCCTCTTAATGAGAGCTTTGAGACACAGAGAGTCACCATCACTGGAGACTTCATCTCTTTTATGCATCCCCTTTGGTTAATTTCAGGAGTGATTGCCTTGCAACACATGTTGTGTGGGAGTGCCTTTTAAGAGCATTTGCTACAGACGTTACTGGCCTTTCTGACCAGCATGAAGAGCAAAATAAGTGGGCTTACCACTTGAACCATTTTGAGATATCTGGCGTAGCGTGGATCCTTTGCTACAGTTGTGACGTTCTCCGCTGTGTCTTCTGACTTCAGCTGCCCTGCCTCATGCACACTGCCCTGCTGTACGTAGAAAAGCGTTGCAGGATCAGTCTTTTACCAACAGGTATAGATTTGTAAAAAACCCCGGAGAAAATGCCATTTGAGACTACTGTGACCTCCTCGAACATTAAAACATTTACCTCTGACTGAGGAGAAACATTTGTTGACTGTGGATCTGTTGAGGCTTGTGAGATGGGGCCATTCATAACACTGTTGACACCGGTGTTCACGACTTCACACTTGACATCTTCTAGCCCCGGTATAGAAGACAACTGAAGACAAACAACATTATAAACAGAGGTCTACAAACTGCCTGTTTAGCATTCAGTGCTAAATTCTTTCACTAAATCCTCAGAGCTGAATGAAGTCTAGTGCAGGCAAAGCCTGAATGAAAAGGATAATTTATCCTGTTTGCCGTTATCACCAGTAACGATTTCCCATCTATTTGCATTGCATTAGAAAACCAAAAACTACAGACATACTGTGGCAAACCAGGAGGTATGGAGGCGGGGAGAGCTTAGGGGGATGGATGGACAGGGGATGGATGGAGAACTGGGTCACCGCCCAGTAGAACAAGTCTGGCCTGAAACTCCCATGGCTAGGAGAGGCTGGCTGATCCACGTGGCAGCAGTCAAGAAAGAAGGAGTACCACTGGGGTTAAGCGGAATCTGGGTGGTAAACTGCACACCTTGAGCTGAGGGGCGGAGCTAATTGTTGAGGAAGGAATTTCGGCTGGTGGTAGAGAGGTGCTGGGAGGTGACCTGGGATTGAGGAGGTTACCTACATTTGGTGTGGAGAAAAGATCACTGGAAGCTAGGCCAGACAGACAGGAGTAACCTTGACAGCAGTACACGTGATACCGTAGCCCAGACTTTGGGGGCATAATGAAGAGGTAATGTTGCTGTGTTTAAACTTGCTGTGTGAATCCTGATTTCGGGAAGCCTAGGCCTGGAGCCCCACCCCACTCCCAGCCTGCTGTGTGCCCTTCCCCTAGGAAGCCCACACCTACTGGCCTGGCACAGACTGATACCACACACACACAGAGATTCATTTCTGCTTTCAAAAAATTCAGCTGTGGAAACTGTATACAACATAGGTAAGAGCTTTAAACATCCTTAAGAACACCACTAACAAGAAAAGACATCTCGCATACCAACCTTTGCATCTAGAATGTTGAGCATTGTTTCAATTTGCTGAATTCGGAGAGAGAGAGCCAACAATTTCTGGGAAACAAGGACATGAAATATTACTCAGCACTGTACTAACTGGTCAACTGCCAAAGAACACTTATTACCCCAGTCACTTGTAGAACAATTATACGGCACAGGATACAATGCTACTGTAAGCCTCGTTTCACACAGGGACTGAAAATACCTCACAATTACTTATGGATTATGACCTTGGCCTGCTGTAGGTATACCACAGAGAACCCCTGGAAGCCAGTTCCTAAAAACGACTAGCCCACAGCAAATGTTCAGCTCCTCAAAAATATCTATTCACCACTTGGGCCTTGAGGGACAGAGAGCCAACTGTTGTAAGTTTGATTGCCAGGAAGCCACTCTGTTTGTCAAGACAACCAAAGAAAGGGTCTTCTTTGAAATTTATTAGCTAATGACAAGGATAGATTAAATATACATGGAGATAAATTGATCTGGAAACACTGGAATAGGAAGGCAAGACTGGACAACCTTAACCTGCCACAGGATGAGCCCTGTTACTACTTGATTCCATGACAGCAGTTTCACACATATTGGTGATGAAAGCAGGCTGGCGTCAGCAGGCCGAGATGGGGCAGCTGCTGGGGTCCGAGGTTTCTGGCTGAGCCAACTGTTGTTGATGCCCCTTGCGCCACTCACCTGCTAGGCCTTTACTACCCACGCTCCTTGCTGCATACCCTGCCTAGTGCCACTGGGGAAAGTCTGCAGGCAGCCGTGAGCATGGGGAGTAGGAGTCCTTGTGAGCAGGCTAGAGAAGGACACACAATCCAGTACGTGGGAGAGGGGGGCAGGAGTGCCTGGTGGTGGGCAAAGGAGGAGGGCCTTGAGGACTCTCTATGGGCCCCCCAAAACCTGGATGAAAGTGTGAATGCAGCTACCAATTGGAGTGATGGAAGAATGTATGCACCTTTTCCTACTGAACTGAGATAAACCTGCATATTACTAGAAGCCTCAGTACAGGCTGGTTTCTGAAACCTAAAGGAAATAAATGAATGAACAAAAGCTGCCACTCCTTGCTGAAAGGAAAGGCCAGCCTCGTTAATTTTTAATTCCTGCCCTGAGCCTGCATTGCGGGGAGGGTGGGGTATCAATGTGATTAATAAATAAATTAATAAAGAGTCTCACACCTCAACTAAAATAATTTCTTTTAAAAAGGAAAGCATGCCTTCTGTCCTCCCGTCTCACTGATGACTGTATTGATTAAAACAACTTGCAGCCCTAGCCGTAAACACAAATCCAGTCTGAAAGAATAACTGTACGAGATTCATTCCGTATTTAAGGGAGAGTCAGTGGAAATCACTCATACTCAAAACGTTTTTGGAAGCGCCAAAGCTGAAGAACAAAACGCTCCAGTCACACCTCAAATCAAATGTCATGTACGATTCCTCTTCAAACGCAAGCTAATTTGCAAGAAGCCAGGCCATAGGAACCGATATGGTGGCTCTAACTAATTGTTGCCAGATGCAACCAGCCTGCGCTGTACCCAAAAACTCTTGGCCAGTGCGGTGGTTGGCAGATGCGTAGCATTCTCACTGCCTACTGGCACAGAGGTAAGCTTTCTGCCTGGCTTGCAGAGCCAGAAACTTTTAACACCCTGAGAAACATGCCATCCAGCCAACTTAAGAAAAGTGACAGATTTTATTTCAAAAGGCTATTTGATCCCCACCTCTCTAGTTATAGTTATAAACTTTGTTCTTCAAAATGAATGTCAATTTTTAAAAGTGGTCACACATATGAGTTAGCAATACACTAATTAATTTAAAAAAAAATAAAAAACTGATCAGCCATATGAGTTTTAAGAAGAAGAAAAAGAAGAAGAGATTGGATTTATACCCCGCCCTTCACTACCCAAAGGAGTCTCAGAGCTGCTTACAAACTCCTTCCCCTCCCCACAACAGACACCCTGTGAGGTAGGTGGGGCTAAGAGAGCTCTTGACAGAAACTGCTCTTTTTTAAGAACAGCTATTATCAGAGCTACAGCTTGCCCAAGGTCATCCAGCCAGGTGCAAGTGGAGGAGCGGGGAATCAAACCCGGTTCTCCCAGATTAGAGCCTGCGCACTTAACCACTACACCAAACTGGCTCAACATCTATTTATTTAAGAGTATTGATATACTAAAAACGTGGTGCTTTCTGAGGATCCTGTGGCAGGGACTGATGCTTGTTGAAGGGCAGAGGTTTAATCCCGGGCATCTCCATTTAATGCATCTCATATACTAGGTCTTGTGATATACACTTTATCTGGTCTTTGTATGTACTTGTTTGACATTAGGGCTATGAACAACAGTTTGTTGCACAAACCTGGGTAGTCTGTGAGATATACTTTGCCTGAAAGCCCTCATCAGTGTGTTGGTTGCCTCCTTTCCTGCTTCCAAACAGAATTCCCTGTGGCTGCCCAAAACTCCCTTGCACTGTCTGGCTGTCCTTACATATGCTGCTTGCTTGCTATTTGTTGGCTGCGACAAAGAAGCAGGAAAAGGGCAAGGAAAGCTAGAGCAACTCCAAGCCTCTATATATCCCGCCTTTCCTCGGAGGCTTACAATCAGGCCTGTGGCCGGGGGGGGGGCATTTGAGGGCAACGTCCCCCACAGATGAGTTGCTGCCCCCGAGGGAAAAATTTTTTAAAAAGGGAACAATTTTTAAAAATCTTTTTTTAAAATGTAAGATGCATGTGGATATTCCAAAATGACACCAGGCACAGTCAAGGAAGCTTCAGTCTCATTTTTTCCCTTTTTTCCAGGCCAAATAATAAATATGTTTATAAAAATGCAATAAAATAAAATAAAACTGCAAAATAGAGTCGGAGATCCCACCCCACCCCCGGGCTTACACAGAAAACCAGCCCGGAATCCAGTCCTTCTGATGGGAGAGACTCGAGGAGGACTAGAGGTTGCAGTGGAGCCGGAGGTCGGGGTGCTCCCCCCCAGATTTCCCCATGCCCCACCAACTGAAATTTCTGGCTATGCCCCTGCTTACAATAATAGTTAACAACAGCTTTCTATCCAGCCACTTCACTGCATTCTCTAAGCTTTTCGACCTGGAACAAAGTGGATTTTAATAAACATCTCTCTCTCTCTCTCTCTCTCTCTCTCTCTCTCTCTCTCTCTCACACACACACACCCCGTTCTGCCACATTCTATAATCTTGTTCACTTGCAGAAATAAAATAAGAAACACATGATCATGGCCAAGTCCATCCATCAGTCATTGTTTCTCAGAATATAAACATTTTAAAGACAGTTTTCTTTGTGGTGGTGGTGGGGGGAGATATGGGAGCAGGTGGGCTGTGAACCACTTCCCACTGCAACAGTGTTTTGTGTGGAGAAATGTCTATTGTACACGTTGGCAAATGCAACCTAATCATGGGATTAAGCAAGTTCTTTTGCCCCACAGCCTTCTGAATTTCCCTTTCTGCAAAAGGCTAGAGCGGCACAGTGCTGCTTGGAGAGTCATCGCTAATGTGGAAAGAGGATGATGAAGAGGACAGGGAGGAGGAAGTGAGAGCAGCATCCTGAGAAAGCACCATCAACAGGAAGTCCTGCACCCAATATACTTTTTCTGCTGCTCAGCACCACCGGTCCCGTATCCAGAAAGGCTATTGAACGAACTGGGATTTCGGAATGTGGATGCAACAAGAAACCACAGTTAATATTGATCATAGTTAACAAGCCAGGCACAAAGCACAGTTCAAAATCCCTGTTTACCACCCATCCAAAACCAATTTGTACAGCAGCCTGCATTCAGATGTCACAATGCACCAGATGAGTAGCTGTGTTAGTCCGTATCAACAAAATAACTCAGGAGTTCAGTGGCCAGATAAAGACTTACAAAATTTACTCCAGCACAAGATTTTGAGAGTCAGAGTTCACTTCATCAGATGCAAAAGGCATTCAAGTATACACCAGAGTTCAGTCAAACTACTGTTTATCACGACATCTGAATGAATGTTCGTATATTCATATGCAGCTTGTTTTTGCCATCGAGTCACACCCGACTGATGGTGACCCCATAGGGTTTTCAGGGCAAGAGACATTCAGAGGTGGTTTGCCATTGCCTGCCTCTGCATAGCAACCCTGGATTTCCTTGATGGTCTCCCATCCAAGAACTCACCAGGGCCGACCCCACTTAGCTTCCAAGATCTGGTGAGAGCAGACTAGCCTGGGCTATCCAGATCAGGGCAAATGGAGCCCACCAGCAAATAATAAAATGCCTTCCATGGTGGCACATATGCGCATTGAGATATGGGTATAAGGCAATGCAACGAATACGTACCTCTTCACAAACTGTAGAAAATCTGTTGAGAAACTGAACCGTGTGAACCACAAACTGGTTTAGAAAGGCCACGGTTCTTTTCTGCTGTATGGCTGGAACCTGCAGTTTAACACATACATAAAAATACATCAGTAACTGATCCAGTATAAGTTCTCCTCTGTACCACAGAACTTCACCGTTTTCATCCCCCACATTTTGTATACATATTGCTTTGTTTCTAATACAGTGAATTTCTTCCAATTTAAGATTTTTAAACCACTGCTTCAGTTCATGAAGTTCACACAACACAGCAGTACATAATTTTTTAATTATTTGTAGCTCTTTCCAGTTTCATGTCATCTGCAAATTAGGCAAATATATTGTTTTTCATCGGAGCCATGGATGCAAATACTCAACACCACTGGGTCTGCAAGAATGTATTTGACTCGATGCCTAAGGAAGCAATCCTAAGCACACTTAGTAGGGAGTAAAGGTAAAGGTTCCCTTGCTCGAAAGCCAGTCGAATCCGACTCTAGGGTTGCGGTGCTCATCTCCGTTTCAAAGCCGAAGAGCCAGTGCTGTCCGAAGACGTTTCCATGGTCATGTGGCCGGCATGACTAAACACCAAGGCGCACAGAACGCTGTTACCTTCCCACCGAAGTGGTACCTATTTATCTACTTGCAATTTCTTGCTTTCGAACTGCTAGGTTGGCAGGAGCTGGAACTAGAGATGGGAGCTCACTCCATCATGCGGCACCCGGGTCTCGAACTGCTGAACTACTGACCTTCCACAGCCTGCAGTTCAGCGTCTTAACCACTTGAGCCACTGCAGCTGCGGTAGCTCAAGTGGTTAAGACGCTGAACTGCAGGCTGCGGAAGGTCAGTAGTTCAGCGGTTCAAGACCCGGGTGCCGCAAGACAGGGTGAGCTTCTGCCTCTAGTTCCAGCTCCTGCCAATCTAGCAGTTCGAAAGCAAGAAATTGCAAGTAGATAAATAGGGACCACTTCGGTGGGAAGGTAACAGCGTTCCGTGCGCCTTGGTGTTTAGTCATGCCGGCCACATGACCATGGAAACGTCTTCGAACAGCGCTGGCTCTTCGGCTTTGAAACGGAGATGAGCACCGCAACCCTAGAGTCGGATTCAACTGGCTTTCGAGCAAGGGAACCTTTACCTTTAGTAGGGAGTAAGTACCACTAAATTCAACACTTAGTATATTAGGATTGCACTGTATAAATCGAACAAAATAAAGATGAAGGCTGAACTCTAAGAGATTACATTTTTTATTTAAAACATATCCTGCAGTCTTAGCCTATTACGATGCCTGATACAGCTCACAGCAAAGACTTAAAAACAGAAAACAAAGCAGAAGAATCAGGAACATCAGTCAACAGCTCTAAGTATTTTTTTAAAAAGCAGCATTTTACAATTTTAAGAGTTGATTAAAATGTTAAAAACCTCCATCAGCAATAAGAGCAAGCGACAGTACATAATATCTTAAAACTGGCAGATCCTTAAAATATCCATAAAACATTTCAAAACAGCAGAGTTACATCATCAAAAACAGGGAAGAGTTAGGAAGGGAGAGGAACTGGACTAGTAAACAATTAGACAACATCAAACTGATCTAAAGCTCAGACTTTAACTGGGCACTGAACACTTAAAAGATTTACAGTGCCATCCTAAACTGAACTACCCAGAATTCTAATGGGGCTGACTCCCAGGAAAGTGTTCTTAGGACTGCACGGTTAGTCAAAGGCTGACAGATGTGGAATTCCACAACAGGGTGCATACCTCTGACCTTAATGATAAATGGACTTAACAGTAAGTAAACATGCCTAGGACTGGGCTGTAGGACTTGTATCCAGAAAACAGCACGAGCTGGATTCTGAGAGTACATTTAGCACAGTTTTATTCACACTTCATTCCTATAGTCTTCCTCCAAGGCAATTACAAGCCTCAAAAGCCTCGCCCAGTTCCCTCCTGGATTTTCTGAACACACCATAAAACCATGGTTCAATTTAGGTTACTGCAACACACTTCCTGAATACATCTAAGGTGAGGAAAGCATAAGAACATGAAAGAAGCCATGTTAGATCATGCCAACAGCCTATCGAGTCCAACACTCTGTGTCACACAGCAGCCCAAACCCAAGTTTCATCAGGAGGTTCACCAGTGGGGCCAGAACTCCAGAAGCCCTCTCACTGAGGCTCCCCAAGCACCAACAATACAGGACATCACTGGCCCAGGCATAGCGTTCCATTTACACCTTGTTGCTAATAGCCACTTATGGACCTCTGCTCCATATGTTTATCCAATCCCCTCTTGAAGCTTGTAGTTGCCACCACTTCCTGTGGCAGTGAATTCCACATTTTATTTACTCTTTGGGTGAAGAAGTACTTCCTTTTCTTTGTTCTAAACCGACTGCTCATCTATTTCATTGATTGCCCATGACTTCTTGTATTGCAAGAAAGGGAGAAAAGTACTTCCTTCTCTACCCCATGCATAGTTTTTGTAAACCGCCATCATGTAACCCTCTCAGTCGTTGTTTCGCCAAACTAAAGAGCCCAAAGCCCTTTAATCTTTCTTCACAGAGAAAGTGTTCCATCCCTTTAATAATTTTAGTTGCCCCTTTTTGCACCTTTCCCAATGCTATAATATCCTTTCTGAGGTGTGGTGACCAGAACTGTACACAGTATTCCAAATGAGGCCACAAGATAGATTTATTACAGGGGCATTATGATACTGGCTGATTTGTTTTCAATTCCCTTTCTAATAATTCCCAGCATAGCATTTGCCTTTTTTATTGCAGTCGCACACTGAGTCAATATTTTCAGTGAGTTATTGACCATGATTCCAAGATCTCTTTCCTGGTCAGTTACTGCCAGTTTGTATTTATAGGTGGGATTTTTGGCTCCAGAGTGCATTACTTTTCACTTGCCCATATTGAACCTCATTTGCCATATTGATGCCCACTTGCCCAGCCTCGACAAATTCCTCTGGAGTGCCTCACATTCCTCCCTGGTTTTCACCACCCTGAACAACTTACTGTCACCAGCAAACTCAGCCACATCACTGCTTACTCCCAAGTTGAACAAGTTAAAAAGCAATGAATCTAGTACTGAGCCTTGCAGTACCCCACTGCTTACCACTGTGAAAACTCCCATTTATACTCACTCTGTTTCCTGTTATTTAACCAGTTTTTAATCCACAAGAAGACTTGTCCTCTTATCCCATGACTGCTGAGTTTACTTAGGAGCTCTTGATGAGGAACTTTATCAGAAGCCTTCTGGAAGTCTAGGTAAACAACATCTATTGGATCACCCTTGTCCACATGCTTGTTCACCCCCTCCAAGAACTCTAAAAGGTTAGTGAGACAAGATCTCCCCTTACAGAATCCATACTGATTTTGGAACCTTTTTTTTAAAGATGGGGGTTACATTACCTTCTAGTCCTTGGGAATGGAGGCAGATTTCAGTGATAGATTGCATATCTTTGTCAGGAGATCCACAAGTTCACATTTGAGTTCTTTCAGAACTCTTGGATGTATGCCATTTGGGCCTGGTGATTTGTCAGTTTTTAATTTGTCCATCAGTCATAGGACCTCCTCTCTCATCACCTCAGTCTGACTCAGGTCTGTTAATACCCCTCTCAAAATCAGCAGTTCTGAAGTGGGCAAGCACCTCCTATCTTCAACAGTGAAGACAAAAGCAAGAAAACAACTCCATTCAGCTTCACATTCGTTAACCACTAGCAGTGGAAAGCTAGTCACAGTGAGGCTGATAAAACAGAACACAGGCTATGGCAAATAAAATGCAAGTCTGTGGTCAGGCAGGCAAAAAGGGAATATGAGGAGCATATAGCAAAAAACGTAAAAACCAACAATAAAACTTTCTTCAAATACATTAGAAGCAGGAAACCAGCCAGGGAGGCAGTGGGGCCCCTGGATGACCAAGGGGTAAAAGGAGTACTGAAGGATGATAGGGAATTGGCTGAGAAGCTAAATGCATTTTTTGCCTCTGTCTTCACTGTGGAGGATGAGAAGTGCTTGCCCACTCCAGAACCGCTGAGTTCGGGAGGGGTGTTGAAAGACCTGAGTCAGATTAAGGTGATGAGAGAGGAGATCCTAAAACTGATAGACAACTTAAAAACTGATAAATCACCAGGCCCAGATGGCATACAAGCTCCATCACCATCCCACAGGGTAGATACATGCAGGGATATTTTTTTTTTAAGGAGGTGCTGGAACACTCAAGAGTGAAATGAAGTTTTCAATCTATATACTGAAAACTCATTAACTTTTAAATATTTTAAAAAGAAATTTGTTGAAGTGATTCCGGAACTCTGATCCGGCGCATTCCCTCAGAAAAAAAAGCCCTGGATACAGGGAACAGGGCCTTTTCTGGCACCGAGTACATATGCATTTCATTTACATGCATTTATTTATTTATATCCCTCTTTTCTCCCCAGTTTGAACTCAAAGCAGCTTTCTGAACATCATTCTGAACCATTTGCATAATGGTTGTTGTGAAATATCCTGCAGATCTATTTCAGTCAAAAGAGTGGGTTACAAGTACTTTTGAATCAATCAATTAACTCTGCTCCTCACTGTGGACAGTGATTCTGTATAAAGCTTCCTGCCTGCACAGATGCCTTTCCCATTGCCTTGTTTGCTAAGAACCTCCCCAATGCTGCTGAAGCCCTGTGTGTTGTAAAGGATTCTGGGGCATATTCTGGGGTGCACCTGGTTCACACAAGAAGAAGAAGAGATTAGCTTTATACCCCACCCTTCACTACCCGAAGAAGTCTCAGAGCAGCTTACAATCTCCTTTCCCTTCCCCTCCCCACAACAGACACACTGTGAGGTAGGTGGAACTGAGAGAGCTATCCTGAGAACTGCCCTTGAGAGAACAGCTCTGAAATAACTTATGATTGACACAAGTGCCAGCCAGGTCTCTTTGGCCTCATCAGTGCCTGGTGTGGATTGAAGGTCCATTTAGCTCAGCATTCTGATCAAGCATGGAAAAGTTGCTTGGCTTTCACTTTTCTGCCCCCCCCCCCAACAGCAACCTTCCCGAATCCCATATTACAAACTGCATTTGTAATTTCTTCCAATTTCAGGATGTTTTTTAGCAGTACCCCCCTTCCATACTGCATGACACTTTTGACATTTGGAACAACTCTGCCTCCAGGACCACTTGCTGGATGTCTCTAGGAAGTACACCTACAGAGCATGATTGAGACGATTTCCCTGATTGATCCTGGAATGGGAGTCATCACAAGAAGTGTCTCTAAACAGGGAAGATTCCAGTCTTATTAGAGTCAGTAGACACATGCAGTGGCTCCTCCCATCAGCTCCTTTAATTCCCTAAAACCCTTCTGTGCAAAAGTAGCCATCACAACACATTGTGGCAATGAAGTTCCATGAATTTCCTCCAGGAAGAAAGCCAATAGTGCCATGGAATCATGACCATCATCCAAACCTCCAACTAAAAGTAGCACAGATCCTTGGACAATTAATCCTGCTCGTGCCACACTTATATTTAATAATAAGACACTGTGTTCTAGGACGGTGAGTCATCTGTCAAAAAGGGCTGATTTAATTTTAGAGATGCAGGACTTGGTTGCATCCATCTAAACTAGCCTAAAGTCTAACAGGTATTAACCCCAGGCCACCTACATGAGTTTGAATGGATAGGTTTTGTAAAACTTGCAGAACAGCTCATCCAATGGAAACAGATGCAGAAGTTTTCAACAGTGCACACCCAAGAGGTGAAGCGCCTGCCCTGTAGCATCAGTATTCTTAAGTAAGGCAAGTGAACACTGCAGAGCTGCCATTATGTTTTGGTAAAGAAGGCAACCTCAATGGTGTAAGAGGAGAAAAGTAGGAAGAAAAACTAAAGTACTCACAGGTATCCTTTACTAAAAAAAACCAAAAAAACAAAGACCCATCATTGTTCTTTGGGTGAGCTATTCTGTAAATTTTACAAAACCTATCCATTCAAGCTCATATAGGTGGCCCGAGATTAATACCTGTTAGAATTTAGGCCAGTTTAGCGGGATGCTAATAAGACATTTTACATCGACAGGCTCTTTACATTTAAACAAAGGAAAAGTATCATTAGAGCCTGCACCCCAGGTCACATCAAAGATTAACAGAAAAATTACACTGACAAGTACAGCTGAGTGAAGACATCATTAAAAAAACCCTTCCCATCTCCTCTTCTAAACTCAGCCTCCCCTCATTTACTATATGTTCCCAAAGATTATCATTTTTCCTCTCAGCAGTATAATTTGCCTGGGATCAATAATAAACTAATAGGATGGTAATTAGCAGGCAGGTCATAAGAGCCCTTTTTATGTATCAGAACAATTATGGCTTCACACCACACACCTGGAATTTCCCCCAATGCACTGATCGCAGTAAATAATGTAGCCAACACTGGAGTCCACCAATTTTTATCCAACTTAAAAAAGTTCCCCTGGAACCCAATCTGGCCCTGGAGCTTTATTAGCATTTAGTTTATCTAACAGCAAGCAAATTTCCTCATAAGTAACTGGATCCCATTTGGCCACATTCTCCTCCTTTATATCCAAGCTGCAGTTGCTCAAGTGGTTAAGACGCTGAACTGCAGGCTGTGGAAGGTCAATAGTTCAGCAGTTCGAGACCCAGGTGCAGCATGATGGAGTGAGTTCCCATCTCTAGTTCCAGCTCCTGCCTCCAGTTCGAAAGCAAGAAATTGCAAGTAGATAAATAGGTACCACTTCGGTGGGAAGGTAACAGCGTTCCGTGCGCCTTGGTGTTTAGTCATGCCAGCCACATAACCACGGAGAAGTCTTCGGACAGCGCTGGCTCTTCGGCTTTGAAACGGAGATGAGCACCGCAACCCTAGAGTCGGACTCGACTGGCTTTCGAGCAAGGGAACCTTTACCTTATATCCAAGGTGGGGAAGTCATCAATTGAAGAGATTGCATTATTGAAGACTGAGCTATAATACTTTTCCCATTCAGTCAGGACACTGAAAATCCCGACGCATAATGAGTTGATAACAAAGATTATGGAATGTGCTGAAATGGATAGATTGACAAATATACTAAAAGGAAAAATGGAAGAATAATTTATGGGACCATGGAGGGTGTTCTATGACTGGATAAAACATAAGTACTGAGAAACTAAGACTAAATGAAGAACAATAAGAAAAATGGTTATAATAGTTGTGAAACTTTTAGAAGATTTGCATGCAGAATGTCAAATTGTTTTTTAAAAAAATATATAACTATATTCTTTCTTTCCCCTTCTTTTCCCTTTCCCCCTTTCTATATATAAACTAATCAAACTTAAAAAAAACACTTTTCCCATTCAGTCAAAGGGATCTGAGCAGAGGACTTCTTTGAAAAGGATTTGTAGTTGAAATTAACTATATGCCAAAATTTACATGTATCTTGTCAGAAAGACGAGTGGAGACGCTTTAACCAGCACTTCTTTTGGTAAAACTTAACTTTTCTTTTTTGTATTTGATTGGCTCTCATACTCTTCAACATCTTTTATGCTCTGACTTGTATATACTACAGTTGTACCACTCTGATTTTAAACACATTAACTGTTCCCCACATCAGTGTTTATTAGTAATTTTATACATTTTATATTGTGATTTGTATTACTTTCCCACCAATATTTCTTCCCTTGTTGTATTACTTCTACATTTAGCTTTATACACCTCCTTGAGAACAATCAGCTAAGTACACAATGTAAAATACTTTAAACATTTAATACAAAGCTATTGACGCAGCAACATTGTGTGGAAAATGCAGCAAGCCTGGTTCACTCTAACAATACTTTGATGTGGCTTTATATGCCCTCTGTGAGAGACAAGGTAAACTCTGAATTCCCCAAAGCAGCAGCTTCTTCTCAAGAGCTTAGGACAGGGACCATAGGGGCAATTTCCTCATTCCACCACCAGCACAACCTGGAAATAGGTCTTTTGACAAATTTATTTATTTTCTTCCATTATTTAAATCCCATTTTTCTCTCCAATGGGGACCCAAAGCAGATTATATTATTTTCCTTTCCTCTATTTTATCCTTACAACAACCCTGTAAGGTAGGTTAGGCTAAGAGCCTGTGACTGCCCCAAGGTCAGCAAGCTTCCATGGCAAAGTGGGGATCCAGACCTGGGTTTTCCAGACCCTAGTTTGCCACTTTAATCACTACACCACTTGAAGCTGCCTTATACTGAATTAGACCCTTGGTCCATCAAGGTCAGTACTGGCTACTCAGGCTAGCAGCGGCTCTCCACGGTCTCGGTAGAGGCCTTTCCCATCATTACTACTACCTTTTAACTGGAGATACTAGGGGTTGAACCTAAGACCTTGAGTATGCAAAGCAGAGGCTCTGCCACTGAGCCACAGCCCCTTCCCTAATCAGCACGACCCTTCTCGGTATAAGCACAAGATAAACTACAAATTAATCCTATATATGCTTACTGAGGAGCAAGCCCCACTGAACTCAGAGAGACTTACTTCTGAGTAAACATGCCTAGGACTGCACTGCCACTGCCAGGCGTAGACGAAACTGCTTATACCTTAGTCAGATCGATGCCGGAGCCTACGAGGGGTAAGCCGTCCTCATCCATCTCTAGCAGCTGCTCTCAGCGTCCTACGAACTATTACTAGGAAGAGAAAGTGCCTATCAGACAAGAAACCTGCACACCACAACCTTCGCCACCGGAAACGATCCACTCTTCACCCCGCCCACAAGAGCTGCAGGGGAAGAAAAGAAGGGGCGGCGAAGAAAGGCTTCAGCCGCTTTGCATCCTGGGGATTGTAGTTCGGCTGTCACAAACCTTTTGAGGAAAGAGAGGCTCTGTTACACCAAATCTGACTGAGAAATGGTGCGAGAGCCTGCCCAGTCAGCCGAGGACGTGTATTGTTCAGTATGCTTTCATCAAACAATACTTAATGGAGGAGAGGGGAGGTAGATTACCTTTACCATACTTGACATATCAGTTCTAGAATGCAAGGTGTCATAAGGGTAAGCTTGTACTGCTATGCATGACTTACAATCAAGTCCCCATTTAAACTTAGTGAATCTTCATCACTCAGTTCACTGTAGTCAAGTGTGGGTGGCTTGTGCCAGTCTTGAAATCATCAGTAGCAGGATGCCTGAAGACTGAGGTCTCTCCAAACTCAGTGGACTCCCCAGGTACTTAGGGGGAAATGTATGTTAAGTAAAAGTGTCCCACCCCCAAGCCCTATAAAATAGAGTATGTTTCAGGGCGCACAATATGTTGACAGAAGTTCAGAGGTGGGGAAGCCAAGGGAAATTAGCTCGCTCAAGCTGCTAAAATCCTAGGGAGGTAGATTGGGTGTGCATAAGGAGAATTTCCCAAGTTCATCTCTCTTCCCCTATCCTCGGCCCCAATTTATGTGTGAGAGAGCATCTGTTACAGGGAAAACAAAAAAGAGTCTTGTGGAACCTTAAATACTTGCAGCTTGTTGTTGCATTATCCTTTGCGTACTTCAAACTTGGGTGCATGAAGTATGTCCTCAGCTGGTAGATATTTTCCATGTATCAAATTCTTAACATGGCCAATATTTGTGGATACTTATACATTTTTCTACAAACTTGAGAAAAGCCCCAGGTTTGCAGAAAAACCTGAAATACTAACAGACCACCTAAAATAATAAAAGCATGGTCTGTAGCTTAAAAAAAAGCCCTCTGTGGCCATTACTAGACAACCACAACAATATTATCAATTGAAGCCTTGGTTTCTGTCAATAAAAGATGGGACCCCCTCCAAGTCTGTTTTGGCCTTTGAGGGAGGACTCAACAGGGTCAGGCCTGCCAGCAACTACCAGATGACTTGATACCATGCAGGTTCCATGACTCATCCAGGTTCAGCTGCTCACTACTGTTTAATAGCAGCCACCCCACAAAAGCCTATGTGGCATACTAGTTAGAGCAAGGGTGTCAAACATATAGCCTGTGGGCCATAGCTGGTCCATCCAGGGCTCTTACCCGGCCCACGGCCCTGACCTGGATAGCCCAGGCTAGCCCACTCCCAGCAGATCTTGGAAGCTAAGCAGGGTTGGCCTTGGTTAGTATTTGGATGGGCGACCTCCAAGGAATACCACAGTCATAGGGTTGCCAGGTCCTCTCATTGCTCCAGCAGGGGGATTTGTGAGGCATTCCAGGGGTGGGCGGGAATGTGCCCAAGCCTCGCCCCCAAGCTGTGGCCACCCCTTTCCCTCTCATCCTGCAGAGATTTAAAGGGATTCAGCTGATGGGGGGGAGCATGTGGCCAGCTAATTAGCTGGAGGGCCCTTTAAATCTTTCAGCAGGGAAGGAGAGGGGCTGTGGCAGCTCCACTTGAGTGGAATGGGGACCATGGCACGTGGGGGCTGATTTCCCACCGGGAGTCGCAGCTTGGGATTCAGACCTGCTCCACCGCCCTACTCGCTGCGAGCTAAACACACTAAGCAAATTTAACAGCTGTAGAGTGAGAAGAATGATTGAGCCTTAATTATATTGTATCAAATTCCCCAATATATTATAATTTAGCAGTCTGCCTTTAAAAATTTTCAAAGCAGGTAAAACTACAGGGAGCCATTTAAATTGTGAGGTGGTTTTGGTTTATAAACGTAGCTAAATAAATTCACAAAACAGCTGGCTTTGTCACAGAGAAACATAAATATATGCAAATAACAGGAGATGCTATGTCTCTGGCTATGAGAGTTACTGGAAGTGACATCACAATGGCAATATCCAGGCAATGCTCTGGTATTTGGGCAAAAACTCTATGGTAGAAACCATTTTTACCCAAGGTGATGGTGTCACTTCCAGTACATGCTGGAAGTGATGTTGCCATTTTGCCATGATGTAGTCTGGGCCTCCCTCCCACTGCTGGTAAGTCCACCCCCATCAGTTGCCAGGAGAGACCTGGCAACTCTACCATGCACACACTATGACCACTTTATGAGGGTCTCAAGTGAGGGTTCTGAAAATGCCCGAGGAAGAGGAGGAGATTGGATTTATACCCCACCCTTCACTACCTGAAGGAGTCTCAGAGCAGTTTATAATCTCCTTTCCTTTCTCCTCCCCACAACAGACACCCTGTGAGGTAGGTGGGGCAGAGAGAGCTCTCTTGAGAACTGCTAGTGAGAGAACAGCTCTGAAACAACTTGTAACTGACCCAAGGTCACACCGGCAGCAGCATGTAGAGGAGTGGGGAATCAAACATGCTCCTAACCGCTACACCAAACTGGCTAAATATAAATATGCACATAAATGTAAAATAGCAAGTGAAGAGTTAGGGAACTGAGGGTTTTACTTTAATATAAGCCTAAAGAAGTAAGTTTGTTGCCATGTGTTATCTACACCAGGGGTCCTCAACCTTTTTGAGTCTTCAGGCACATTTGGAATTCTCACAGCATGGTGGGTGCAGCAACAAAAATGGCTGCCACAAAACGATTTCCACAACTTAATTTCAGCAACACAGTGCAGATCCTTGTGTTGTGGTGGCAGCTGCTGCCAAAGCAACATTTTAAAAAATATGCACAGCCAATCAAATCTCCAATAGTCAGTCAGAAGTCTTGCTGCCCAAAAGCCCTACCTGGCCCCATCCACTTCCTATAAACACTTGGTGGGTGCTGTGGCCCCCATGGGCACCACTGATCTGAATAATTTTGCACTTATTGAGTCAAATAACTCTGGGTTAATGTGCCTATGGCAGGGAAGGGGCCATGGTATAGCCCAGTCTCATTGGATCTCAGAAGACAAACATGGTCAGAACTTGAATGGGGGACCACCAAGGAAAAATCTGTGGAGGAAGGCAATGGCAAACCACCTCTTCTTTTCACTTTCCTTGAAAGCCTCTTGCTGGGGTCACTATCAATGTGCCCTCTAACCTGAGTTAATGTGAGCTAGCTCACAGTTTTTTAGCCTCTGGCTCACACATTTTTGTTTTAGCTCAGGAAGAATGGCTGCAGAGCAAACTGATTTATGTGGTAGCCAAATAGCTCACTCACAACTTTAATGCTAGTAGCTCACAAAGTAGAATTTTTGCTCACCAGACTCCACAGCTTAGAGGGCGTATTGGTCCCCATTACTCATTTGCAACTTGACAGCACCTACATATGTATGTAACGTGTTTACACAAAGTATGAATGATATTAAGTGTCTACAAAAGAGTCAGTCAAAGGGATACACAAGTAATTAGATAGGTGATCAGGATCCAGTAAAGTTACTTTTTTTTTTTGGCAACTGACCTTGCTTTTGTGCCTTTAATAGTGATTCACCATGTATTAATTTAGCAACTGAGACTTTTTTCGCATAGAATTAAATGTTGGGGTGCTTCACCTGATGCATTTTGGGGTTTAAAGATTCTTTGAAAAACTCAGGAACAAGACCAGGTTTTTAAAAAATAGCAACTGCAGTACCCAGAGCTCGTCAATGCATCACTTCTCCCACAAAAGGAGTAAAGCTCAGCTGTAAGACAAAACATATCAAATAAAAATTTAATTAAAAAAACATGGTTTAGATGAATCTATGTGCTAAGGAGCAAGCTAACCTTTCATGAAGTTTAGCCAAAGAGTAGAAATACAAAAGCTGCCTCTACAGAAATTGTCTTTGTCATCAGTGAAGACAATGAAAAACATGAGGAAGAATTGTGTGTGATGTCATAAAAAGATAATGGCATGATGATCGATAACAACACTTTTTGGCCTCAGACTCTTGACATGAAACAAAATACCAGACCTTCCCTATAACAGCTCACTTTAATTATCACTAATCAAAATAACGTAAAAGAGCCAAGGAAACTGGCAGCCAGGGCTGTGCCTTATGTGAATTTCATATGCTTATATAAATGTAACAGTTCCCAAGTGCTCCCTTAATAATCAGCATAGAAGTCAAACAGCTAGACAAGGAGGCAGCAAGTTAAACAGAAAGAAAAAGCTGATCCAAGGCAATTTCCAGTCATGGTGTCACCTGATCCCCCACATGGGTAGCAGCAGAGTTAAAGTTCAGAGTGAAGCTGAAAGGTCAGAAAATAGAAAAGTTTCCTCTTCCAATTTCCCATGAAGTTCTCCAAGTCCATGAGTTCAAAAGACACTCTGGTGAGACATTTGAGGAACGGCTTATGTCATCAGATGGGATTAAGCTGCTAAAAAGGAGCTAACACCCACCGAGTTAGTTACAATATGCACCCTGATTTTGCTAAGGGTATTTGTCCTAAATATGCAAATTAAATAGTATAAGCTTACATTTAACATATGGGATGAGAGATCAGGCTGGAGGGGAAGTGGCAGATTTGGAGTAAATCAGACCACTCAATGTGATTAGCGCAGGGTAACCCATTTTGGCTGTAAACATACTTTATGTGGGAAGAAAACCCTGTGCCTTTTAATCTGTGACTTTCATAGGTTTGATAACTGCTGCTCTTATTGTGTTTTTATAATGCTCTGCTTATATTGTAAGCAATGTTCCCTCTCAACTGTGAGGTCCTGTGAGCAAAAATTCTACTTCGTGTGTTACTGGCATTAAAGTTGTGAGTGAGCGACTTGGCTGCTGCAAAAATCAGGTTGCTCTGGAGCCATCCCTTCCTGAGCTGAGGTAAAAATGTGTGAGCCGGAGGCTAAAACTGAGACCTTGCTCACATTAACTGAGTTTAGAGGGAACACTGATTGTAAGATGCCTTGAGCTCCACAAGGCAGAA